AATGTACAACGTTTCGACAAGGTTTTGTCATCATCAGGTACTGACAAAACCTTGTCGAAACGTTGTACATTTGCTGTCATGTTAAACTTATATTAAAGTTTTTCTTCATTACCCATTTAAGCCGTCTCCAGCCATTATTAGTCTCAAAGTGGGTTCCTCGTCATCGAATATAAGGATATATTTCTTTTGACATGTATTATCTTCTTCAAATAACAGATGGCGGCAGCATATGTTGTGTTACCAATCAACTCGTGTTCTCGAAATTTTGAAATACATGAAATGAAAACCATATTCACTCTCACAAATTTTATTCCTATCGAGATATAGAGATGCTCCCAATAAAAGTGAATCACTGAGCTTGAGCCTCATACCTTTATATTACATGTGATAAAAGCATACCTTAGTATAGGATATATATGTCTGGGAAAACAGTAACAACATAACATATATAGTCATAATACCTAAACATCTCAACTTGATCCTCATATCTTTGTAATACACGTGATAAGATATATCATAGCATGCATATATGTCTGGAAAACTTTAACAACATATTTCGTCCAATACTTAGACATCGCAATTTGAGCTATGGTATAGTTTCCTCAGGAAAGAACTATGGTGTTATTTTCAAAAGATAGAACTAAAATGTTGATTTCTCAAGACAGAACTATTGTGGTACTTTCTAAATGTATGGCAAACAATAGTGTTACTTTCTCAGGATAAGACTTGCGTATTGTTCTCTCAAGACAGAGCTATAGTGTTATTTTCTCAGAATAGGACTAGGGTATTGTTTTCTCAAAACAAAACTATAGTGTTGTTTTCTCAGGATAGGACTAGGATGTAGTTTTCTCAGGACAGAACTATAGTGTTATTTTCTCAGGATAGGACTAGGGTGTTGTTTTTTTAGGACAAATAATAGTGTTACTTTCTCATTATAAGGCTAGGGTGATTTTTTCACAAGACAAAACTATAGTGTTTTTTCTTAGGATAGTACTAGGGTGTTGTTTTTTTAGAACAAACAATAGTGTTACTTTCTCATGATAGGACTAAGGTGTTGTTGTTTAATCAGGACAGAAATATTGTATTATTTTCTCAGGATAGGACTAAGGTGTCGTTATTTTCTCGGACAGAACTATAGTGTTATTTTCTTAGCATAGAACCAGTGTCGTTTTTTCACTACAGAAGTAAAGGTGTTGTTCTATAGTAAGACCATTTTATTAATCTGGAAATAAATCATCATGGAAAATGTCATTTTTATATATAATTCTAATTAAAGTTTTGTACCATAACATCTCTGTCGTGTAAGCCTTTGAACTGTTACAATAATAATATATATAAAACATTGATATAATCCCATACTTCACACAGAACGTTGTCTGACATCTCTTACAAAGACCAATCACCAGATATCACTTCATTCAAATCAAGGAACACTCCAATATAAAACTATTCCACATGCAGCATTACCAATACATCATACAAACACTATCGGTTCTTGAACATATATGAAAACATCGCTACAGTTTCTTAAAAAAATAAACAGGAACTTATTCCCTGTTTCTGGCCACAAATTTTACAAATAATAATCAATATCAACAAACTAAACGTCTTACAAAGTTTTAACGCCGGTATCCTATTAAGCATATTACCTATGGAAGAACTTGTACCCAGTTTCTGACCACAGATTTTACAAACAATAATCAATAATAAAGAGAGGTACTTGGTCATATTAAACACTTACACACGTACATTAAGTCTGTACGTGTTGAATAGTAGATGTCATTTAAATTGAAATCAGATATTTTGTTGAAAAAAGATGTCGATTAACAAGATTGAGTGTTACAGACTTATAGACGAACTTCGACCACCAAGAAAACGGTCGAAAACAGTTTGTGCAATAAGAGAACCATTTTTTGAATCGTGAGGTTTACTTTCTAGGTGCATTATGAAAATAGATTAAAACTAAAACAATAGTGTAGTAATCCCGAGGAAGGCAAAGGACTTTCTTCTCAGACAAAAGAAAATGGGGCCGAACTAGGGCGAGAGGTTAGCGTATCGTACTATAGATTTTTGGTTCGTTTGTTCTCGTCCCGTGGTTCGTGGGCCCATTACAAAAATGATGGTCAATTCCCACTATCAGGTCACACAAGAGTAGCCCGACAGTTGGCGTTGGATGCTGCTGATGCCCTGATTCTTCTGTACAGAAAACTGTGAACAGAAGCTTATAACATTTAAGTCAAGCTAAAACTTATCTTTCGATATAGGCCTGGTATGGTTGTTTGGGCGCTCGACTCGCAATCTGTGGGTCGCAGGTTCAAATCCCAGTCACTGAACGTGCTCTCTCTCTCAGTTACGGTGGCGTCATGATGTAACGGTCAATCCCACTATTCGTTGGTAAAATATTGCCCCAAGAGTTAGTTGTGGATGTTGTTGGCTAGCTGCCTTCCCTCTAGTCTATCACTGCAAAATTAGGGACGGTTAGCGCAAATAGCCCTGGAGTAGTTTTGCGTGAAATTAAAAACAGACCAAACTGTTTAACTAATATAAATATAAAAAAGCAAGTTCTCGTTTGTTTGGAGAATGTTCTTTTAACTTTTATAAATTAAGAAAACCACCGTACAACAGAAATAAGGAAAATATGTGCAAAAGTTTTATATTTTCTTAGCTTAGAAATGTAAGCTGTATGTTTTACTGAAGTTTTCAAAACTTGTCGAGTATAAAAGTTCTTACAGCATGTACATCTCACATGCTTGCCACACACACACAGTGTTTCACTCCAACTTTGTTGTTTTTAGCTTTCTCACGGATGGTGTTGTTGGAGATCTAGTTTTGTTAGAGTTTAGAACTGTAAAGGTTGACTAGTGACGATGTAGCGCATGCGCTGTGATAGGCATAACGTTATCGCTTGATTTATATAATGATATACTATCTCAGTCTTCATCCGGAGTTCGTCCTGGTAAGATCTCTCAACTCTAAAACAGAAGTGTTGTCCGTCGTCTTCGTCCACTTATCTTGTAAGTAAATAAACATTGCTTTTCACTTTGTTTTACATCATGTTCAATTTCTTTGACTGAGCCAAGTTCCTGCTTCAATAATACATATTCTGCTGTTTCTCCGTGTTTTCTACGGTTGCTATCCTTATCTGTAGAGTAAACCGCTGTACCTACGGTTATGGTCACATTGTTAGCCTATATAATATGAGTTACTTTAGATCTATTCCTCACGTATATAAATAAGCAGTATAAATATATAGCCTTACGATTGATAACTAACAAACTGTATAGATATATTTACAATTAATATATATATATATAACAATCAGTACAGATAGCCTTACAATTAATGTATAACAAACAGCATAGATAGATAGCTTTATAACTATTAAATAACAACTGTAAAGATAGACGATATAACAAATTATATAGGTAGACTTTTACTAATAAATACCAAACTGTGTATAGGTGGTCATTTATTAACAAATTATAAACTGTATAGACACACTTTTACTAATAACAAACTGCTTTATTTTACCTGTTATTAAAACATTTTCTCAACTTTTGCCTCTGAGACCTCAAATCTCTGCTTTCTCTGACTGTCCACATGTTGTCAAACTCAAATATGTCTCATATCATGCAGACTAAGCTTACCAACATACACACTCTTCTGATTTCTTCAACTGCTTATGTATTTCATATTTCAATCCCAAATTATACCGTGAGTAGTCTAGATTACTTCCAGATTAGCTGATCTCCATAAATATGTGATTGCCATAATATATATAGATATATTAATCTAACAGATAAGTATCTCCAAAAATGTCAAACTGAACTAGTTAGACTGGTGTGATACATATATATATATACATCAATCATATCCAACAATATTTTTATACAAGCATGTCTATGAACCAATACGGGCTTTTATTTACACAATAATCTACGTTTAAAGCTTTAAATTATGCTAAATATAAACATTAGTAGCTGTCGATCCATTTAATGGAAAGTCAGACTGGGGAAAACATGTTAGCACCATCTATAGTTTCACAATGCAGTACACCATTCATATTTAAAGTTTTGTTTATTTGGAATTTCGCACAAAGCTACACGAGAGCTATCAGCGCTAGCAGTCCCTAATTTAGAAGTGAATGACCAGAGGGAAGGCAGCTAATCATTACCACCCACCGCCAATAGTGGGATTGGCCGTCACTTTATAACGCCCCTACAGCTGAAAGGGCGAACACGTTTAGTGGAACGAGGATTCAAACCCGCGACCCTCAGATTGCGAATCAAGCGTCCTAACAACCTGGCCATGCCTATTTAAAGTTAAAATAAAAAATATGTAAAGCAGGAGTGTGTAATATACATAGATTATTGTTTTTTATTTTAAAGTATTAGAAATGTAAATGAGGTTTTATAAACTGTGCTTTTAAATAAATAGACTAAACGATATTAAATTATATACACACCGTAAGCCTCCTCACTTCAAAGCACATTACATCTTATCATACGTTGTCTCATTCTTTTTTAACCTCTAGATTTTTAAGTTAATACACTCTTCATCCTGGTACTAAGCACGGGTTGATTTTCAGTTCAATTTGTTCAACTTCTCTATTTGTAACTTCTTTTCTTAACATGTCTGACTTTTATAAAAATACATTGTGCTTTTGACAGACAAAAAGCATACAAAACATAAAATACAAGAGAATATCTGTTGAAAATTTTCATTAATCATTTTTAAGCATAAATAATAACCTATTTAATCAAATAAACAAGTTTATGAAGAGAGTCCATTTTTGGTATATTTGTTTAACTAATTATTTTCAAACCTAACATATTTTCACAAACAATCTGTGCGTGTGTTTGTTTTGTTATAGCAAAGCCACATAGGGCTATTTGCTGTGTCTACCGGAGGAATCGAACCCCTGATTTTAGCATTGTAAATCAGAAGACTTACCGCTGTTTCACTGTGGAAATCTTTCATTTAGCAACTACATATTTCAAGATAAGTTTAGATTTTAGATAATACAATTAATTTCCCTTCAGGAGTCTTGAAGTTATAATCTACTCAATGCGACGGATAGATAATACAATTAATTTCCCTTCAGGAGTCTTGAAGTTATAATCTACTCAATGTGACGGATAGATACTACAATTAATTTCCCTTCAGAAGTCTTAAAGTTATAATCTACTCAATGTGACGTATAGATACTACAATTAATTTCCCATCAGGAGTCTTGAAGTTACAATCTACTCAGTGCGACGGATAGATAATACAATTAATTTCCCATCAGTTACAAAGTTGAAGTTACAATCTACTCAGTGTGACGGATGCGCACAAACACTTTTGCTTCCGCCATAATTTTTTTTTCCGAAACCCCCTGAAAAATTTCGCGAACCCCAAAAGTAATAAGTAAATTTAAAACATCTTTGATATCACCCAAAAAATTGTTGTTAAAAATAACCCATTCAGTAATTACTGAGCAAGTGAGACTCCATATTTTCTCTTGGAGCCATCACTAGAGTAAGGTCGTATGACCAGGTGGTTAGGGTACTCGACTGGCAATATGTTGGTCGCGGGGTCGAAACCCTGTCTTACCAAGCATGCTCAATCTTTCAGCTGTGGATACATTATAATGGGACAGGCAATCCCACTATTCGTTGGTAAAAGAGTAGCCCAAGATTAGGCTTCTTTCTAAATTCTTTCTGCTTAAATTAGGGACGTGAAATTCAAAACCAAACTAACGCCTTCCGGTGGTACAGCGGTATAACTGAGGACTTAGAACACTATGAACAGGGATTCAATACCCGTGGTGGGCACAGAACATATAGCCTATTGTTTAGCTTTGCGCTTAAGTTGAAATTGAAATGTTCTCAATACTCTTTTAATGTGGAACTCATCGCCCGAGCCAGTTATTTTTATCATTGATTTCACTACTTTGGAATTGAAAAGATATAATTTTGTATTTGTAATTTTTACAATTAACTTGAAATCAAATCAAACAGCGGTCAAATAGTTTGTAGTAAATTTACAATATACAAAGCGATTTCGTAAAACATAGCGCTAATATATTTTACTTGTAATGTTAATTTAGAACTTTTACTTGACTTTTTGTTACATGTACAAAGTTTATTTTAATATCACACAGGGCCCCAAAAGAAATCACTTGCGAAGCTCCAAATGAATTATGGCTACATTTGATACCACCATTAACACATTGTCCGTTTCCAACCTAATGATTCAGCCATTAACCACTGATGATGAGCAAGAAATTCAAGATTTTTTCCGATTGATATTTGCGGAAAAAAGGCAAACCTTTGCTTCCTTCCAATTTAGTGAAATGTGCAGAAACGTCAAAATCTGGATCATTATAATATTCATCATTACTACAGTCTACATGTTGACATCAAATATTATTATTTCTGTTATACTAGGTATTACGCTTGGAATTACAATAGCCTTAGAATCGTCACGTTTGCTATTACGAAGGCTTCACAGCAAACTTCACAACGATTATAGTCCGGATGTAATCAATCCATTCGCCTGGTCACGTGAAAATAACCATACATTCCTGGTAGGAAAAATTGAAGGTGTTCTAATAGCAGCAGCGCTATTCAAAAGAGGTTCGAATGGAGAAAGACGTTTAGGAAGAATGTTTGTGAGGAAAGATCTAAGAAGTCGTGGAATAGGAAAGTTAATGGTGAAAAGATGCATAGAAATGGCTAAAGATGAAGAGTGCAAGAAGTTGCAAGTTCGTACAAGTTCTTTAAATTCAAAGTCAGTTAAGTTTTATATGAACAGTGGATTCAAAGTATGTGGCACTGGTGTATTGCTCGAGCAATTTCCTTACAAGTGGTCGTATGTTGAAATGGAGATGTATCTTTAGAACAATAGTATTGTTTTATAAAGCAGTTGTGAAATAATTAAACATTCACTGCTGTAAATAATAATAATGATAATGTTCATTTTTCAATCCAGTATAATTAGTCCAGACACTTTTGGATATCTCAGTTATGACTCTTTGTTCTATTTCTTCTCTGAAATAAAGTATATATTTCAGAATAATAAATGCAACTTAAACAAAACCGTCAAGCTGTTGTTATAAACTCCTAAAAGAGGAAAAATATTTTGTGCAAATTCCTAAAAAAAAACATTAATAACATATCAGCATTATAATGCACAAAACTTTCAAGCATCAACAAAACAAAACAAAAAAATCCGACTAGTTCCGATAGGCAAAGGGAACCATTCTGGAGGAACGAAATAAAACTGTCCTGAGGTCACTACGTATGGATAGACCTATGGTCAGAGTGACTTGTATGTTTAGGTTTGAACCGGTCCAGAAGAGTAAACAACCACTATTGAGTTCTATTAAAGAAAAAAAAACTTCCAAATAGTTTTAGTTATATATATATATAGACTCTCTGTTGTTACGCTGGTGGAAGAAGTTTGATTCATCAATTCTTTTGATTGATCAGAATTAATTTTGTGGTTAGTTGTGTTAACATGTAAGGCTAAATCCGATATATCAACTTTCTTCCGACGATATAGCCTTCATGTTCCTTTACTCTAATTGAAAAATATCATTTTATTTGACCCATATAAACAGGGTTAAAAGGTCAATGATTGGAGTAAATACCATGTCTGTAGTGAACTTCTATCTTATCTTTCCCCTTGTTAAATTTATTTGACAGCTAATTTACTGGCATATAAGCTGATTTAATTTTATTTCATCTTAAAAGAGCACCTACGTATTTTGTTTGATATCAGGGGATAATAGGGTATATTTTGTATGTTTAGGGTCAACTCGGTCAAAAAAAAGGTTAATGTCCACTAACTAATTCGATAAAAAAATAACTTCTAAATAAAGTTAAGTTCAAATCTTAATTCATTATTGTGCATGTCTTCTATAGACTGGATAACAATCTGGATAACAATATTTAAATTGAGGATTTAAACTAGTATAATGTGGCTACGTGAAGGAACTGAGAGAATATAAGTACTTTCTGCAGTGGCTGCATGAAGGAACTGAGAGAATATAAGTACTTTCTGCAGTGGCTGCATGAAGGAACTGAGAGAATATCAGTACTTTCTGCAGTGGCTGCATGAAGGAACTGAGAGAATATCAGTACTTTCTGCAGTGGCTGCATGAAGGAACTGAGAGAATATCAGTACTTTCTGCAGTGGCTACATGAAGGAACTGAGAGAATATCAGTACTTTCTGCAGTGGCTGCATGAAGGAACTGAGAGAATATCAGTACTTTCTGCAGTGGCTGCATGAAGGAACTGAGAGAATATCAGTACTTTCTGCAGTGATTACATGCAGCAGCTCATATCAACATAATCTATAGATAAACCTAAAATCAAATTGACATGTTTTCACGAACGTCACCTGTTGGAAAAATAAAGTTACTGGAAATGATTAATCGTAGGATTGAAAATAACACGCTTCCATATGTAATATGTCAATAGGATACTGGCGTTGAAACTTTGTAAGTTATTGTTTGTAAAATTTGTGGCCAGTTCCTGTTTTCTTTTTTTAAGAAACTGTAGCGATGTTTTCGTATCTGGTCAAGAACCGGTAGTATTTGTAAGATGTATTGGTAATGCTGTGTGAAATAGTTTTATATTCCTAATTTACCTTTCGACCAGCTCTCTTGATATGTTATAATGCTCTAAATCTCCCGTCATAGCATACTTCTTAAATTAATAATGCTTTTCTTTAATTTTATACTTGATACTCTTTGTGAGCCAACCTGGTTTTTTAACTACAACCGTTTATTTTTTCTTGTAAGGAACATATCTAAGTTGAACATTTAAAAATTTGTCCCTGGAAATTTTCCATACTTGATTATTATCTTATTAAAATCTTATTATTCCTTAACTCCACATGTAATAGAACAATAAACCAAAGTGAGGAATGATAATTTTTCACCCAGATGTTCCTTATTTCCACCCTATCAACCATTCCTATATTAGAATTTAGCAATAAATCTAAAGTAGCACTGTTTCTGGTAGGTTTCGTAACCAATTGTTAAAGAAAACCATCCTGAACGATTTCTAAAACCCTGTTTCCATCATGGTTTGACTGTAATACTGCCCTGTCTATATGCCTGAAATTAAAATCCCTCATAATTATAACTTCATTGCCATTTGGATTCTTTATCTCACTCTAGATTATATCATTAATTTCACCAGTTTCGTTTGGTGGTCTCTAAAAAACTCAAAAAGCCATCTCCTCTTTTAACCACTAAAAGAAACCAAAATAATTGCTTTTTAAAACTCATAACACAAGTAAATTAAAACAGATAAACACAGACTTGTCTTTATTGTCAGCTTTGACTCTCTTAACGGAGCCTTCATTGGGCAACAATGTATTGAATAATTTACATTGATTTATCTATGGAACACCTTATAAAGGCAATAACTATTTAGAAACTGATGAAGACGAAATATGACAAATAGAGAATTAACAGTTGAAGATTTGCACTTTTATATACACTGATCGTTGTATCTGTACAATTATAAATATATTATACACTGTTGTGTAAAAATAGTTAACATGAAACAATTACTTGAATTTAATTGTTTATTATTAAGCACAAAGCTACACAAAGGGTTAGCTGTGCTCTGTCCATCACGGATATCGAAACCCGGTTTCCAACAGTTAAGTCCGCAGACATAACGCTGTGCCACTGGCGGACTTAAATTTAATAAACATAAGAGAAAAGTACAATCATAGGTATTGCATAGAAAAATAAAATGTTCTGATTTCAAATATTATGTTGTATAACTACTAATGATATTTTGATATTTTCCATAAGTGGTGTCCATACAGTATTGAGTGGTTATTGGCCACTGTCTTGTTAAAACCAACTGATGTTACGTTGTAAACAGTGCTGAGGTTACATGAAATTTATTGAGTGGTTGTTAGCCATTGTCTTGTTAAAAGCAACTGATGTTACGTTGTAAACTGCAGAAAGTACTGATATTCTCTCAGTTCCTTCATGTAGCCACTGCAGAAAGTAATGTTACAATCCAACTCGATCGAAAGAAGGAGATATTTATCATTGTGGCATTATTCAACACTAAATTCTTAGGAGGCCAGAGCTATTCAGAAACTGTGGTTTAATCCAAAACGATATCATATTTGAAGTAGAAATCATATTCTAGACTCCACTGGTTAGCTCTGTTGTTGGAATCGTTAGTTAATAGATGTCTAGAGTTATCAGTGTCCATAGGTAATTTTAATATCAAGAAAGTGCACTTCTTTGTTCGAAAGATGGTATGTAAATTTAAAGGCAGAGTGAAAGTTTTGGACAAAGTGAATGAGCTCATTTATGGTTTCAATGGAACTTAAACTTGTGCCAAAAATGTCATCTGTACGAAATTTATAGGAATTTTGGTATGTTTCTTCAGAACTGTTAAAAACAGATTTTCAACACATCCAACAAAAGAGTTGTTGTATGAGGAACAAATTTTAGTGCCCATAGTAACCACCTTTCTCTACCGGTAAAAATCTACATTAATATTGAAAGCATTACGGTTTAACACAAGTTCAGTGATTTTTAGTAAGGATTGGTCAGTGAGTTAAAAACTTACACTGTGTTTAAACAATGTTTAAAGATGTCACCGCTGTAGTTTTCTTGAACGTCCGAAGTTGGTTATCAAATCCGATTTTAGCCTCGGGAATAGAAAGATAATCGCTTCAAACATCGCTTTGAAATAAACAAATTAGTTTTTATGAAGCTGTGCCATTATTAGATGTTTATTTTGAATTACACAAGTAACGTCAGTGCGCAACTTTTATCCAACTCAACATAGTTCACGCATTGACAGATAGAAAAAAAAAAGTTTTATGTGTAGTAAATACAAACGAAATATATGTTCAAAAAACTATAATTTATTGGCAATAGCAACATAGTTTTGAATATGAAAAATATATGTGTACTTTTTTTTTTCTAAATTGCACATTCGAAATAAGCACAACTTTTAAATTCTCATATTACTTTAAAAAGATATTTCAATGTGATCTTTATGTATCACTTTGGTATTAATAGATAGCGAGCAAATTATAGATTGGGATTTCTCAAAATTTATATATTTCTTTTGATCAAATATCACATTTTTGAAATAACAGATGGCGGTAGCATACGTTGTGTTATCAATCTACTCGTATTCTCGAAATTTTGAAATACATGAAATGAAAACCATATTCACTCTCATAAATTTGATTCCTATCGAGAGATAGAGATGCTCCCAATGAAAGTGAATCACTAAGATTGAGCCTCATACCTTTATATTACATGTGATAAAAGCATACCTTAGTGGGAAAACAGTAACAACATATTGAGTCATAATACCTAGAGATCTCAACTTGATCCTCGTATCTTCGTAATACACGTGATAAAATATATCATATTATATATGTCTGGGAAAACATTAACAACATATTTCGTCACAATACTTAGACATCACAATTTGAACTATGGTGTCGTTTCCTCGGGACAGAACTAGGGGGTTGTTTTCACAGGACAGAACTGCAGTGTTGTTTTCTTAGGATAGGACTAGGGTGTTGTTTTCTCAGGATAGGACCAAGATGTTATTTTCTCAGGATAAGACTAAGATGTTATTTTCTCAGGATAAGATTAGGATGTTATTTTCTTAGGACAAACTATAGTGTTATTTTGTCAGGATAGGTCTAGGGTATTGTTTTCTTAGGACAGAACTATAGTGTTAGTTCTCGGAATAAGAATCGGGTTCTTTTTCTCAGGACAAAACTAGAGTGCAGTTTTGTCAATGCAGAAGTAAGGGTATTATTCTATAGCGAGATCTTTCTATTAAACTGGAAATGAATCATCATGGTAAATATCATTTTCATAGATAA